TTTAGCGGTTTAGGGTTTGGGGGTTTAGGGTTTAGGGGAGCTTTGGCCACGACGACTCGACCTCTCTTTCTGGGGCACGAGCCATTCTTGATGCACGACCCAATCATGCAATTGAAGGTGACCACCTGAAGCTGAACTTCGCCGAGCTGCCCCAATTCGCCCCATGTGAACATGGGGATGGCCAGCAGCTAGAGCAGTCAGACTGAGATGCGGAATGCTGGGGGCCCAGCGTTTGCTTTGTAGCCTGATTTCTCCATGCGAGTGGCAAACCAGCGGGCTGCCTCGTAGGATGGTCTGTACCACATGATGCGCAGGTGCGACTGCAACATGGACAGTAACGGGGCCTCGGGTTTGTTGAGCTTTGTTTGGCAAGCATGGATGATCCAGTGGTAGAATGCCTGCACTTCAAGGCGAGATGGGAAATCTCCCGCATCCAGCCGACGGCCTGCCTTTGTGACCATCGGCTTGTTGGCATCCTGCCGCTCAAACAATCCCTCCCCACTAGCACCGCACCAATGCTAGGCCGGAAGAGATGTGAGTGCGAGAGTCGAGAGCCTGCTGCAGGAAGGCCTCGACTTCATCCATTTTGCCCTTGTTGACGAGCTCGATGACCTCAAGATACCCAAAGGTGCGCCAGAGCAGATGGGAAGAAGGCCGAGGCAAGGCGAGGTCTTAAGGCTCGTGCAGGAGCTGCAACTTGCTCCATGCTGTCCTGGATCTAGGTCTCTAGCCCTGCTCGCGTGTCAAGCAGAAGCAGACTTTGTGCATACATCTCGCGGTATATTGTGCATGTCACAACGTCCTCTTTGGATGGAGCACGTGTACGATCCTCAGCTGCAGCGAGATCAGGGACGAAGCCCACGAGAATGTGGGCAATCGTAAAACCCTACACCCCAAATCCCCAAGCCCTAAACCCCTAAAAACCCTGAGGCAGCTGCATGACGGTTCCCCACACGCCTTTGTGGCTGGCGGGCTTGCGCCTGAAAGCACAGGGCTCATAAGCAGATCAAAGCACATCTATATGCTATAATATGCTGCGACTAGCTATATGTAGATGTATGTGTGTGTATATATATATATATAGATGCACATGTGTGTATGTACATACACATGTATACATACATATACAGATGCACAATATTCCAAAACGTGTGGAAATATATGCTCTGCGCCAGCTGCCAGCCTTCTGGTTCGCAGAAGCAGAAGGTCCTTCTCAAAGCTTCTCTACAAATCTCGTGCCGCACCGGAAGAGGCTAGGCAGCTAGGTTGATCCTGATAGAGCCATGTCATACCAATAAACTATAACAATAATGGTTGCATTAGTAATCACAACAACAGTTGCAATGATAGGAAGGAAGCCAGGAAACCTGCCCTCGCCCCAGCCCGTACGGAGAGATGTGTTAAAGGTCTTGGGGCCGGTGCACTGATTTCACGAAAAACCCTAAACCCTTTTTTGCATCAGGACTTGTGCAATCGCCTGAATATCCTAAACCCTAAACCCTAAACCCTAAACCCTTTACCGCCGTTTGAGGGCAGAAAGTCAAGTAGAGCAGGCAACAAGGCGCCAGAAATGCTGAGAGGTGGGACAAGCTCAGACTTTAAGCAAGTAATGTAGGGGCCTTAATAATTAGAACAGGGTTTGGGGGTATACTATTCTATAACTATAATAAGGAACCCGGTAATTATTAGGGCCTCTATATTAGGCAGCTTCAATCGGCCCCGACTCCTGCAGGGTTCGTCATCAGCGAGCCTTGGCGCCCAGGGCGTCCCACGCATGAACACAGCAGTCCCCTTTCGTAGGACTCTGGCGGAAGATGTCACTCTGGAAAGAAGGAAAGCGGTTCCGCTTTTGCTAGGCTAGGACGGAACTCTGGGAGCCGGCATTGTTGCGGAAGTTGGCGACTCAGAAACTCTGCCAACAGCATGCTCAGCTGAGAGATGTCAAAGTGGACAAGCTTCCCGAGGCCTTGCGATAGTCAGCAAACTTTGAGACGAGACCTGGCTGTCGTACTCAGCTGGCCATGGCATAAGAAAGTCATGCGTGGCACGGGAGGCTTATAAGACGCGCAGACGGGCGGACACACTGTGGGCAGCTAGCATGGAACAAGAAGACTCAGCATCTACGATCCGAGCCTCACAAGTCCACAATTTCCATCAGGGTTGAGGGCACTATTGGGGCAGCTATACGGGCACTATACTTACTACAAGCCCTGAGCCACTCAGAAGTTAAGTGCAGCACCTCAAAGCAACAGTCTCAGTGCCGCTAAGAGTCGGATCAGCATTCTGTCCACCCATCGCAGCACATCCAGGGGATCCTGGTAGTCTATATGATATATGACACATGATATGTAGCATGAACTTATCTACTTTTGGAGTATAACATACAATACACAAACTGATGCTGAACATGGCACGATTTTTCCTGTCTGTAGACTCTAAACCCCACCACCTGGTCAACCCTAAACCCATTCTAACCCTAGACCCCTCTAGTCTGGACGGTCGAAGCATCTTGGCAGTTCTCCGACTTGCTGCAGGAAAATTGCCAAAGCTAGCAAGCCTGAAGAGAGAGAGAGAGAGAGAGATATATATATATATGTCTATCTTACTTTTTGGAGTGGTTCGCACCTTATTTGGTGGTCCTTATCGTAGGGATCTTGCTACTCTGGCGATCCCCTATTTTCTGCAACGTCCATGTTCATCCAGTACGAGTGATCCCATGTTAATTTATTCTTTGTGAAGGGTTTCTCGTCACGCCCATGCTCTTCCGCGCGCTGGGCATCTTTAGAAGCAGTCACCGATCAAGTGAGACACGGGAAAAGATGCTGCTCCCCTGCTAGTTGCTTTCTTGCAAAACGCTTCTCCGATCTGAAGTCCATGTGACTTCCTTTGCTGGCCTGGTCTTTACATGCTGACAGATTTCCGATGACAGGAGATTCGTCTCATCAAGTGTTGTTGCTGCGTGGCTGTAGTCCTTTGGTTAGCATCTGCCAAGTCGGAAGTCGTGGACCACTCTGGTAAACAAGTGGAAACAAGTCTGATATTTAATTTGGAAGTTTCATTATAAGACAGATAACATAGAACAAATAATTTATAATAAGTACTGTGTAAAAGGAACTATGAAATACATAACTTATGTTACATTTGAAAACAACATAAAACATGGAATGCCGACAATTAACATTGCATGTATAAGCTGTATAAAACATCATATATATATATATAGCCTGACAAATCAGATATAAGAACTAATGAAAATAAAACAGAACGATACAAACAAATATATATATATATATACATACATATTTTTGTCTTTCATATTATATTACAGCATGTTCAGGCACATGGAAGAAATTGTTCAGACGCGCGCAACGGATTCCCTAAACCCTATACCCTCGACCCTAGACGCTAGACCTAAACCCTGAACCCTAAAGTTTAAATCCCAAGCCCTAAACTCGACACCCCCAACCTGCAAATGTGAACATCTCGAGGATAATTCCCGCGCACGCTCTTGATAACTCACAAGCATCGCTTTGATACCGCGCGATCTGGCTTTTCTTCCCGAACCATGGCGCAATGAAAACTGAAGGATTTTATGAACACGACGGCTCCCTATGTATGAACAAAACAAATACCATATAACATGTAATGATAACAATAACATATGAAATACAATAGACTATATACAGTAGACATTATATTCTATAATATATGTATATAGAATAAAGCAGAAACGAGTTTAAAAAAAAAAATATATATATATATATATATGGGTGGTTGTCAAAATTATGGTCCCGTTTTGGGTCCTTATTATAATACGGCACCTATTATTTAGGGTACCCCAAAAGGGACCATAATTTTGACAACTACCCATATGGGACATGGACCCTTAGGGAATAAACATGGCTGCTGCATGGTAAGCA